AATATCTCTTATATCTCTACTCTCTTCTACTTCTTTAATACCAATTCCATATGTTTGAGGTTAAATAACACATTCTTATAATTCAATAATTTCATTAATACGTCAAGCTGGTGTTTATGAATTTGTCGATGATGAAAATAATATAGGTGAAAAACGCCTGCAAATTAATTCACAAAATTGTGTGCATTGTAAAACATGCGATATTAAAGACGTGTCTCAAAATATTGATTGGGTCACGCCCGAAGGTGGAGATGGTCCGAAATATACTCTTACCTGATTAAATTCATTGCACTTTTCGTAATTTATGTTATCTTGTAACATATTAAACATTAAAATTTTATTTTCAGCACTAAATAGGAAGAGTATTTACTAATTTGAAGCGCGTAATGTGACATTTTATCCTTAAAAATGATTCGTGAATCATGTTAATATTTCCAATTCGAAACCATTGTAAAGTTCAAAAATATTATAAAGATATGAAAATCTCAAATGTTTTATAATAATATATTGTTCCAAAGAAATTCAATTTTTATTATTATTAATAAAATTGTTTAATTATAATCTATTATATTATGTATATTTTAGCATTCATAACACTAACCCCATGCAGCACTTGTACAATAATTTATTATAAGATGACCATCTGTGCTGAAACACTATTAAAGAATATATATTAAATTTAAATTTTTCAAAGTATTAAAAAAAAAAAAATTACATTTGACTACCTTATGCAAGTTTGATACAATCTCATCAGGAGCCGGAGAGAAAGCACTATTTACGTACAAGAACTGTTTAAAATAAAATAGAAATAGTAAAAATTTGTATAAATTTATTAGTCATAAAATCATTTATGATTGACTAAAATTTACCAAAGGATCTGATGCTTTATAATTAAGCTGAGTTCTTAAAAATTGGATCACGACTTGAAATTTATTAGATGCGGTTATTTTGAAAAAGGGTTGTTTTAGGATCGGAGCGTTACCTATAGCCCGAAAACGTACAACAACTTTTTAAAATGTTGGAAAATAATAAATTAATAAAACTTCGCAGATAGTAAAGGGCAATCCTGAACGAAAATATTAATTCAAATACACAACCTTTGTTTATATCTTTTTTTCCTTTATACTTTTCGAGAATTATAGCAGGATTTTCTGCAGGGGGAACGTTTAAAGAAGAGTTGGAAGAAGAAGAATGTAGAAGTGTTGTGTCATTACTTGCCGAAGACATCGTAAAAAATTATATTTAATAACGTTGAATTAAACAAGTCAGCTTTAAACAGCCAATCATCTGAATAAATCGCGATTAAAGGAGTTCGTTTTTATTGGCTGAAATTAGTTAAATATGATTGGTAAAAACAATTTTTCATATGATAATTTTTACTTACGAAAACATCCGATGTAGAAAATGAACGAACTTAATCTTCCAAAGGATTTCGAAATTCTAATAAAAAATCGACTAACAGATATATTTTATTTATTACTTTAGAATTAGGACCTTCGTTAAATAGAGTTAAGATTAGAGTAATAGTAAAATTAAATTTATACCAAAATTTGACAAGGAATTTTTTTAATTAGAACACCCAAAGAAGTTTCATATCTAACTATAAGTTATTAAATGTTTTTTAAAAAATATAACAATTGCATTAATTTTCACATTACACCTAATCTTTTTTTTTTGATTTGCTACAACACCCTAACACTACGGTATTATAATGCTATAAATTAAAACCCATATATTACTAAAAATAAAATTTTTTAAGGTTAAAATTATATGTAAAATCTTATTTTGAACAAGTTTGTTTAAAAGATAAAAGTAGATTATATTAATAAAAAATAAGTTTACTATATACTAAATGTAAAATTTTTAGTTTATCTATATAACCCTTTTTTTTTTACTAATAAATCTACTTTTATCTTTTAAATAAACTTGTTCAGAATAAAATTTTATATTATATTTATTAGTACAAAATTTAGATTAAAAATTGTATGACAAATCGTGCGACTGTTACGGGTTTTCTCTCTCAATCACCTAAATATCAAGTTCCGAATGCTGTTATGTTAGGGATGGGCAAATTTTTTACATATTCAATACATATTCTTATGTATTCTTATTTAAAACTTTTGCTGAATATGTAATAATGGGAAATTATATCATCATTTATTTATCGCTAAAGTTAATTAAAATTTTCAAATTTTCAAGAGCATCCGGAAAATGTGTACCAAGTTGGTGCGCCATAGCTGAATAATATTGGATTTTTCAGAGATCCTTGTCGGAATGATTTTAAATATGTTTTTTTTTTATAGGTTATATTATGTGAAACTTAAATTTTTTGCTTTGTTACGTACGTACATAAATAAATATAATATTATCTAGTCTTCAAAAAAAAAAAAAAAAAAAAAAAATTTATATTCATAAATCCGAATCATTATAAAATTTGTAATTTTTTCTGTTTCAATAAAATTCCTTCAATAAAAGTTTGAATCCAAACAAGATTTGAATGAAATCCAAAAAGTAAGCAAAGTACCTTATAATTTTTATCAAATTAAATGATTGTATTATAAGCAGTGTTTAAAATTCAAATTCAAAATTATGTTCTCAAGTGAGCTAAATTTAGAGTATTAATGTTCTTTAATGTTCTCATTATATAAATATTATTTTTTAAAAAAATTTATATATTTATTAAGTAAACCTATTTTAAGCTCTTATGTAAAGTTGCCTACAGAAACTTTCTAATTCTAATAGTTCTTTAAATATTAAAATTAGTGTAGTAGATCATAAGTTATACATATTTTAATTTTTGTAACTATAAGTTTTTTTTTTTTTACAAATTTGCAAAGAGAAAACTTATAGTTACAAAAATTAAAATAGATATAACTTATGATCTACTAAACCAATTTTAACATTTTAAGTACTATTAGAATCAGAAAGTTCTTGTGTACAACTTTACTTAAGAGCTTAAGTAAGATTAATATAGTAGTAAAAAAAGTTATAATTGTTTAATTGTTTAATAATAATCATATTTTATTTATACAAAATGTTCTCAAATAAAAGAACATTAATTTAAATATTGATGTTCATAAAATAATTTTAATATTCACTGAGAACACTAGAACATTGAATTTTAAACACTGATTATAAGTATTAAAAGCTAGTAATAAATTCAAAGTTTCATTATTTTAACTAACTGCGCTAAAATAAATAATCGACTTCTCTAACCACTATGACACGCCACATTTTCTGAATGCAAAAAAATTTAAAATATTAATAATCATCGAGGATCTCAACTGAGTCAAGAGGTTTACTAACTAAAAATAATTCAAAATTTTAATTTAGCTGATTAGACT